AGAGTCCAGCTGTTAAAAGATCTGGGTCAAGCCTATGCGAGCAAGCCCTCAATAAGCCTATAATGGTGATAGATCAATAGATTGATAGGATGAACCAACCAACCTACAATTTCATTTGATTCAGTGGTGGTAAATAATGTGCGTGGACGAGCATTTATTTATAATTTACTACTGCTGAGTTAGGTCAAATCAGTTATGGAAAACTGGATTAATGAGAAGAATTTTATGCCCTATAAACTACTAGATTTAAGACAAGAGAACCTGTGGCCCTCCAGATATTGCTGGATTGTCAGCTTCCATCTGCTCTAGAGACAATATAACCATTGGTCAGGATTGCTGTGGCTCAACAGTCTATACTCCCTATCCTTTTACTAGAGGGTGAGGTACTTGCTGTAACAATTTTGCACAAAAATTTTAGATAACTTTGGGCTAGTCACTATCAGCATAGAATATCCTACATCATTTTTAGCAAGGGTAATAGAAGTACATCTCACTATGGCTTCCTTGGAATATTTCAGGCAAAAACAAAAGAAAAATAAAAAAATAAAGAAGGCAAAAACACTGTGGCACGTTAAAGGCTGCTATACTGTACTTTAATATGAGCTCTCATGGACAACTCCACTTCCTCAGACTTCATGCAAACGTGGCTACCTCTTGGGATATTTCTTCTTCTTTCAACTTTTTGCTGTCACACTTTTGCAGTCCCTGCCAATTTCTACTGCTATCTTCTGGATTTGAATATGCTGACCAAATGTACCACCATGTCCTCCACTGTGTCCCTATGCCACAGGCTCCTCCAATGTTTTGGATTACAGCTCCCATCACCACAACTGTGGGTTGTTCAGTTTGGGAATCTTGAGATTTGTGTTGTGTGTCTGGAGTAAGTTACAACGTTTGGTTCCTGTCAAACAGCTGTTGGAGCAACAGAAATTCATTCAGGAAAAGAGATGGCCACTTGAATACTGTCATATGATTATCTATTATCTATTTGTCCCTCCCAGATTCACACACATTTGCTGCAATAAGGGAGCATTCCATGCAGTGTTATGAAATATACAAACTAAGACAATGTTCTGGCTTTTTCCCACAGTCACATCATCCTGAAAGAAGGCTAACAAATACAGTGATTAAACTGTTGGACTAAAGATAAATTCCCACTTGGGCTATCTTGGGCCAGTCATACTTCTCTGACTTACCACACAGGATTGTTGTGAAGACAACATGAGGAGAATAAACGGATACAAAGCCTTGAGCTCACTGGAGGTAAGATGGGGTATAAATATAATAACAACAAAAATAAAATTTTGTCTGGGAAACAATATGCTTTGGCTCCACCCACTCATTTCCTCCACACACAAATTCTCAGAAACAGTTGAGAGTTGTACAGTGAACCTGATGTTTTAGCAGTTACATGTGAACTGGCCTTGAGGCAAGCACTGATTCACCACAACTCCACTGCCTTCAGTGACTGAACAGTGTCAATGCCTGGCAGACTAATTCACAAGATGTGCACAGCCTTCTGAGATGTAATTATCCTGTGTGTGACAGTGCCTAGCCTTAAGGAGGAGTGATGTCCACAAAAACTTATCTTCACCAGAAAAGGTCATATCACCTTAGAAAGGAACTTTCTTATCCTGCAATAAATCTAGAAACAGCAGCTCAAGGTACTAAACAAGACCGTAACTACTTAAATGAGTGCCATTACCCTCAGAAATACATGCTTTTTAAACACCAGATTTTTTTCCATTTGATCAATCTGCTAATTTAATCAATTAAAGCCATAGCTAAAGCTATAATTTTTGCAAAAGTAATTTTATTAAAAAGGCAATATTGAATACTCAAACTTTGGGATGGAAAAATATTGTAAGCAAGCCAAGTTTTTTTCAGTCTTTAAAAAGCAACACATATGAATAACAATTCCCCCAAAGAGTGTGGTACTTTATATTTAAAATACAGCACATTCCTGATTGTGGAACATTTTATAGATTACTCTGGACATTTTCACATTTTGGGGTTCTGAATTTATTTTCTTCTTGACACGATTTTATTCAGCAGGTGGAATTTTTTCTTGTAGACAAAAGCAAAAGGAGACATTTCCCTCCAGATATTTGCCAGGGATCTAACAAAAATAAAACACAAGGAAACATGGACACAGACTATACTATAAGCTTTTGGAGCAACAGACCCATTATACTCAAGAGGACTTTGCACTGACTTCAGTGGGATATTAGGAACTGTACAGCTAAATATGAACAGTTATTTCCTACATTAAACTGTTTTTAAAGTGTACGTGGAGTTACTTTTTGTTTCACTTGTCTTATTTTAAGCTTTTAAAACTCATTTTACTTGCTACATTGGATTTTAATATTGCTTTTAAATACTGCATGTGTTCTGGTTCTTCCTTGTAAGCCACTCTGGCTGAAAATTTCACTTAAGAGAAAGCCAAAGTTGTTTTACTGCCTGAGGCATGAGACAAAGGACATCATAATACATCTCCACAGACAGGTAGTTCAATCTTATTTCAAAACTGGCAAGAGAACGACATCCTTAAGTCTACATGAGAACAGGAAAGATAAAACAGGATGCAAACAGCTGTATAGCACTGTCCTCCTACCCCCCCACCGCTACCTACCATCTTCCTCAGCATCCGCCTAACACAACAGGGCCTACCTTATCTGTTTACAATGATCTGACCTCAGACAGCTCAGGGCAGAGAGGATGCTGGCCATGATATCACCTCATTCCAGTACAGTTATTCCACTCCAATTTAGGTGTAATTCTATAAACATGTGGGGGGAAAATATGAGTATTTCCAGCTGCTTTAAGCTTGGCAACGTAAGTGATCTAACAATCTAGTTGGTAAGAGGTGGGGGACAAGGTATTCAAGGGCCTTCCAACAGCCATAAAACAGGGCAACCAGTCTCAACGTTTTGCTTTTGCCAGTTGTTAAAGAGTTATTTCTGTTTTATTAATGCTTTTACCTAACATTTTAAATATGTTATTTCTTTATTCACAATTTAAAATTGTGGACATATATGAATCTTGTGCCAGCAAGTCAATTCTGGCTTATGGTGACACTTTTCACAGTTTTCCAAGTAGACAGTGCTCAGTAGTAGTTTACCATTCCCTTCTTCTGGGGGCAGCCTGGTATTGTGTGGCTTGCCCAAGGCCACATAGGCTGGCTCTACTAATAGGAGGGAAAATGGGGAATTGAACTCCCAACCTGTGAACCCACAGCCAGATACATAAACCACTGAGCTATCCAGGACTTGGAAATATGATTCCCAGTGCAGTGGATAGAGTGATTGACTAGGATTCTGGAAAATTGGGTTTGAATCCCTGCTTGGTCAGGGGAACTCACTGGGGTAGTGAAACAAGTAAAACCACTCCTTAAATATATCACTTACTTTGAAAGCTCTATTAGGGCCACTATAAATTCATTCTGATTTGATGGCACAGAACACACACACATACAAAATATAGGTAAAAGTAAAAACAAATTAAAATATTAGGATAATTAGACTACTTTTGACCAGAAGGAGGCTACTTCAATAACATTATCTTGTGCTAGTTCTTTCCTTTTATGATGGGGCATAAATTTATTTATTTATTTATTTATTTAATTGATTGATTAATTAATTAATTAATTTATATGCCGCCCACACTACCCAAAGGTCTCTGGGCGGCTTACAGCATTTAAAATACAATAAAGTTATGTAGCAATTAAAATACAATTAAAATATATATAAAATTGCCATCGGACCCACAGCTAATATTATTTCAGTTAAAAGCCTTCTGGAACAGGAAGGTTTTGACCTGGCGCCGAAATGTCATCAGTGTCGGCGCCAGACGAATCTCAGTCGGGAGGGCATTCCATAGTCTGGGGGCAGCTGCCGAAAAGGCCCTTTGTCTACAAGCCTTCCCTCTTATCTCCTTAAGGGATGGCTCTTTCAAAAGGGCCCCCAGGCTAGATCTTAACTGCCGGGTAGGCTCATATGGAAGGAGGCGGTCCTTCAGGTATCCAGGGCCCAAGCCGTTTAGGGCTTTATATGTCAAAACAAGCATAATTGCACATAATTGCTCCTCTGATTGAATTTCTCCAGTCATAGGAAATTTGTCCTATATCCAAGTATATCCCTATTTTACTTGATTATTCTTTGATCTTCCTAATTCACTTGGAAGTCTATTAAATTAAGTGAATTCCAGATGGTCCAGTGAAATCTTGTCCTGGCAGGAGACATTCTTAAGCATTCATCCATTTAGCAAGGTGTGTCATTTTTGTTCTCCAAAAGTTTAGCCTAGCCTCTTCTGGTTTAATATTTAGAGCTTGAGATGTGTGCAAGAGCTTTTCAATTTTAGCTGTTATCTAGGAGGTTGATGTCCATGAAGTGGATGGATTTGATGCTATACTAAGCTTATTTTGCTCATTATTTGCTAGCATCTCTAACATCTTCTGGAGGGGCAATGCTAGCCAAATAATGAACTTTTTCAACAGGAGTAGGTTTCAGGCAGCCAGTAATAATCCTACATGATTCATGTGCCTTTTCTAAATTCTAATTTTTTTTTTAATTTACTGTTCTTCGCTCTTAATATTGTGTTTTTAATGATGTAACTCGCTTTGGGTCCTTTTTAAGGAGAAAATATATTTTAAATAAATAAAAATAAATGAATACATATTCGTTTATAACCACTATTTTCAATTGCTAGAGATACATAAGGTTTCAATTCCTCGCCCACAGACAGTTACCTCCCTCCCTTCCCACTTTGACACCGGAGTGACACTGAACTGTAATTTACGCGAATACACATTTCCACTAGGAAAAAGAAACTCCACACACAGGGAGCCCCCGCTTCCTGCCTCCCTTAAAAGGTAAAGTCATAGTAAAAGTTAAACACACACACATAGGGGGTCCCCGCGGGGTAGCCCCAGCCTATTCCTCTCTCTCTTTTTTTTTTCCCCCTTTCTGCCCGCCAAGCCTTCCCTCCCAGCCGAGCCGCAGCTCCCCTTCCCCGGCCTTCCCTGCAGCCTCCGCGGCTCGGCGGAAGCGGCTTTGCCCCGAGTCAGGTGTCCTCCTCCTCCTCCTCCTCCGTCGTCGTCGTCGTCGTCGGCCAAACCGAACCCGCGGCCCGCTGGAGAGGATGCGCGGAAGGCGGAGACTGGCAGGCAGGCAGGGGCGGGCGAAGATGGCGGAGGCCGAGTGAGTCTGGGCTGGGGCGTCGGGGCGAAGGGACGGGACGGGACCGGGGAGGACGTGCCGGTGGGGCCAGGTCGGTGGGGCGCGGGGCGGGCGGGTGCCTGCGCGGGGGGGCCAGGGCACGGACGTGAACGCGTGTCA